GGAAGCAGGGAGAAAAGCTCCTAAAGCAATTATTCTGGCTTTTATCTCACCGATGCAGTTTTCAATTTTCTTGAAACTTATTCCTAATAAGCCCTCATGATGATCCTGTGTTCTTCAGGAAAACCTGTCAAGATTACTAGTTTATGGGTCCCAAAACTTTCTAAGTGGACCTCCCTGCTTTGAAACGAACAGGAAGCCACTGTTCTTCTTGGACCTTTTTGGAAAGACACCCTAAGTCATGTGTAATACTGACAAAATGTGTGTGCGCTTGTCCACCGATCACAGATGTTTAAAGCCCTTTTGTGCGTGTTTGAACTGGAACCCTGGTTAGCAGTGCTTTTTGACTCACTCTCCAATACTTCATTCAGAGATTTACAAAGTTGAACTAAATACATATGGTGGGAACGATGTAACAACTTTGGGAAAGCGGTAGGCAAAAAAAATAGACATCGATCCTAAAACAAAACAATTCCATTTCCAGGTAGTTAACCCAGAGAAATTAAAATATATCGCCACAAAAAGACTGAGGCAGAGACTCTTGTTTATAGGAGTTTTACTCACAATAGCCAGAAACCACATACACAAGTTACAGTAAAATGGAATACGAGTCAGCAACATAACAGACTAAACCACTATTGCCTACAACAACATGGGCAAAACACAAAATCATCATGCTGTGAAAAGAGGCCAGTTATCAAAGAGTGTGCCTTGTATATGAAGTTTCCCAACAGACTAAATCTATTCGATGAAGAGAGGAATCACGGTGGTGGCTCTCTGGGAAGCACAGGAAAGGAATGACTGAAAAGGAGCATAATAGAACTTTGGGGTGATTAAAAAATGCTCAGTATCTTGAATGGGTGTAATTACATGAGTGCACACAGAGTTTCAAAAGTTCCTAGATAAAAGGAATTCAAAGATAAGGGAGTCTATTTTTGAAATATTATGTATATAGGCAAATAGAGAGACAAATATATATATGTCATTATTCATGAACTATATTACACCCAATAAAATTGGATTTAAAAGTCACATCTGATCTCTTACTTCCCAACAATGTCAAGGATACTAGTTGATGTAAAGTGTAATGTTTTATAGAAAAGTTGAAAATGTATTAGTGATAACACTTTTAGTCTAAATCAAATCCTTAAATTGAAATTTAAGCCAAATGTATTCACCCAGTTATATAGATAGAAGGATAGTTTTATCCTAAAACAATTCTCTGTGGTTCCCAGTAAGAATGGGAGAAATCAGCATGTCTTTTCTTAGGATAATCGCCTATTGAGAACAATGTCTCATATGACCACCATAAGATATGAATACAGCTTCATGTTAAAGATCACTATTTTCCTCTAATCAAGTATGTCCTCTGCCTATTCGCAATCTTTGAGGTACTTATTTCAGTACTGAAACCGTATTTCAGTAACATCTATTACTATATCTCTGAACTATTCCCATCTGCTTTTCTGAACACTCCTCTCTAGGTATGTAAGAGAACTACTTCAGACACGAGTAACTCACTACAGGGAACCAATTCTAACACATAGCGCCCTACATAGGGCTTCCAGCTGTAAATCTTCATCCCAAGGAGTGCTGGTGGTTTTGAACCACCAACCTTGTTAGAAGCCCAATAGTTAGTTGCCTGTCATCACCACCAAAGCTCCTGTCACCCTTGAACAGCTCTGCCTATTTTATCCCCTCCTCTGTGCATTGATACCATGGGTTTGTCTGTGTCCTGGTTTTGCTTTTCTTTCCCCTGTATATTTCAAAACAACTAAAAATATTTTCTAAATTTTGAGTTGAATGATTTTTTTTCTTGTCTTCATTATCTCACTCTTCACCAAGTATTAATGTTTAGGTTGCTTTGTCAGATTCTAAACCTCAAAGGACACACACACCTAGACCATCTGACACTTCAAAGTTTTATTGCAATATTGTCTTCTACCTTAGAAATGCTGCTCCTAGGTGCTAGTCTTAATTATGCTACTGACTGTGTCCTTCCTTTCCAAGATGTTTTGTTCAATTAATAAATAAATAAAGCTTAACAGGAAAAAAAGAGATGTTTTGTTATAAAACCCACCCACTGTCGTTGAGTGAGTTCCGCATAGAGTACATATTTAAAGTATATAAATATGTAGTTCCCATTCTTAGTGGCTTCCATGACACTATTACCCACTATTTCCACTACCATACTCCAAATGTAGAGGCTGTCTTTACCTGTATTGCACTACTGAAAGCTGTCCTCTTTGCACTACTCCTACTACATGCCTGCTGTTGGCCATTGGTCCAAAACCATTCATGATACATGCTGTGACAGGTACCGCCCACACTTCATACCTGGTTTTATACTATGGCATCATGTTCGTGAAAGAACCCAACTGTCCAATCCTACACTACACCCTATCAAAAGCAATGGACAAGATAGGTGGAAGTATCCTATAGTGCAGATACAACATTGGCAAGTGTCATTGTGCTGCTTCCACTGGAGGCACCAGTATCATTCCGCAGCACCATCCTGAACATGTCATTTGCGTTAATATCTTTCCAATCTTCCTATAACGTATGCTTGTCCTTTCAGATCAATTGTTCATTTCTTCATTTTTCAGACAATCCCTACACAGAAGGGGCCTCTGCACAAAATGAGCCGCTGACTTTAATACTCTCCATCATCACCTCTTACTCTTCAAGCCGTAGGTATACCACTTACCTTCTAGCTTCCTCATCAAGGAATTGGCATGTTTATATGCCTGCTTCCAAGGTTGCTGAAAGAATTAGAAATGACTTACACAAAGTGTCCTCAATGCCTGATATATAAAAGGCTTTCAATAAATAGTCCAGGATAAAAATAAATCACTCTATTCCACTGGCATCCTTATCCTCGCACCCTTTTCAATCAGCAAATATTGAGTGCTCATCTATGATCTTGCCATCGTGCTTCCAATATCTTCTTTCACATTCCACTCATTTCCCAATGTCTGAAATAGCCTCGCTTTCTCCATTCACAAAATTACTTCCCTCACTTTCCAGTCACAAAATCACTTCCCATTCTCCGTAATGTCCAATTTGAAAGCAGTTTTAATTAGGGAATTTGAAGTTAGGGAGACAGAGAACAAGGAGCAGGGAGCAGGGGAAAGAGCCACCTAATCAGTCACTACTTGACTAAAATGACCACAGTAATTGATGCCTACTATACTCTTAGATGTCTTTCTCATATCTTAGATCTAGCACGCAGGTGGTACAGTGGCTTAAGGTCATCCATTCAAACCCACCAGCTGTTCTGAGAGAGACAAGAGAGGCTACCCACTCCCATAAAGGCTTAACCTTGGGTACCATAAGGAACAGTTCTACTTTGTTCTGTCAGTTGACTGCATCAGAATCGACTCATTGGATGTAAACGGGCGGGCGGGAGGGAGGGCAGACTAGCTGGTTGGTTGGTTAGTTGCTTGGCTGGCTGGCTGATTGGTTGGTTGACATCTGAACTATATGGTAGAAAGGTGCTTGCTGCTTTATTTACGCAAGCACACAACCTTAGTTTTTTTTCACATGCCTTATATTTGAAAAGGGCAAAGTCTTCCGAATACTAATCACAATAACCCAAAATCCAACTCACAGAGCAGTTGAATTACAGCACAATAAATGAATGACAGAGTATCTTATTTCAGAATATCTGAATTCTAGAATCTGAAACATACATAAGAACATTCCTTTCTTTCCAGATACTAAACTATTCAAAGCATTCAGATATTGCAGCACACCTGTCTTTCAGTTCCAGGCACTGCCTTCGATGAAAAAGTAGCTGAAAAGCCATGAAATGAAATCAATTCCACATAAAGTTATCGCGTGATTCTGATCCCTCATCTGACTTGTAAATTAGATGTGTGCAACTTCACTATCCAGCAGCACGCTGATCTTTTTCTTAGCAGAATGGCTGTGCTACTTGCATGGCACTCTGACCAAAAACATCCAATAGTGGCAGTGGCACACTGACAAATTGAATAGTGTATGCTTTGAATAAAGATTTCAAGGTAAGTCATGAGGCTTTTTCTGTTGGTAGATGAGCTGCATGAGCTATATAAAATGTAATCTATGTTTTATATCCTGAGCTGCTAGAATTTTTGGCAAATGCTAACATGGGCAGGGGCGGGTAGAAAAAGCTAAAGATTCACTGAAGAAAAAGAAAAATATGAATTGGATTCAACTTTGAAATAACCCACACAGTCCTACTTTCAAATCTTTTATTGCTGGTGTAAATGCAAGTATATGAGGAGATTTCAAAAAGTTCTCAGAAAAATGGAATTAAAATATAATCAAAATTTTCCATGAACTTTTGGAAGTTCCTCCTCCCCCATACTAAAAGCATCAAAATAAAACAATGATTTGGTTCAAAGAGCACACTGATGTTCTAGTAATTCGATAGTTTTAGAAAACGCACAGGTCTATGTCCAGTTCATTCCTGCTTGCTAAATCACTTTTTAAAGTAAATTTAATAAACAGACCTGAACATATTCACTTAAGAAATCACTAGTTCAATGCACATTACTACTATACACTATGATTTTCTACTTACTATTGAGATCATAAGTCTACTCCAAAGAAGGCTTTCATAGAAAATCTAGGCATGGAAAGGATTTTGCAAATAGAATTATTTTAAATATTTTGGGGAAAGTTGCAAGACTCAATAAAGTAAAACCTTCCATATGAAAATCAGTCCATAAGTTAACCTTTTTAGTAAACAGGTGTTTTCATTTACTGTTTTTCCCTTACAGCAGCGGTTCTCAACCTGTGGGTCGCGACCCCTTTCACAGGGGTCGCCCAATTCATAACAGTGGCAAAATTACAGTTAAGAAGTAGCAGCGAAAATAATTTTTTTGGAAGACTGAGAACCTTAGAGTAAAAGAACCTAGTATTGAAAGGTGATAAGTAAGCTTAGTAAAAAGGGAAGCTTTATAGTCTGGTTATCGAGGCAATTACCACATACTATTATGGAATGCATTAAACATTACCTGAGTAAAGATCATATTCATTTCCACAACCACCACCACACACAGGGGGGAAAATTCACTTTTATTTAGTCATGAAGTCCTTAGAATCACAGTAGAGCTTGATGCCATATTGGTGTCACACTCTGCCAGTCATCCAAAGAATATGCCAACCTTCTTTTTCAACTTCTTTGTTTACTAGTGCATCACTGGACCCAGCAGGCATCTCACCCAGACAATCTCAGTTACGCATTTTGGCTCTCTGTGTATAATAGATGACAATCCTTATGAAGTATCCAGTTTTGTCTTATGGATTTGAACCTGCTGCAGATGTCTCATCTAAATTCTTGAATGGATTTTTATCATCAATGTCACCTATAAAACAAGACAGTGTCACCAAAAGCATTGTCCTGGAGCACATCTATTTCAGCACCGCGAAGCTTTCTGCATCATAACTGATAGTCAGTCATCTATTTGACTGGAGCCAGGGGTCAGCAAACTAGAGCCACTGCCTATTCTTATAGAGCCCATAGTCTAACAATGGTTCTGTACTTTTTAAATATTTGAAAAACATTTTTCAAAGAAGATTTTGTGACATGTAAGAATTATATGAAATTTAAATTTCCATGTCCAAAAATAGTTGTACTGGAACACAGCCACACTCATGCATTTATGTATTGTCTATGGCTGCTTCACACCACAACGGCAGGACTGAGTAGGTACAACAGAAACCATCTGACCTGAAAAGCCTAAAATATTTACTATCTGGTCCTGTACCAAAAAATCTCCTGGACTACCATATTCTGGGAGGTGAGTAGACTGCATGACATATAGTAACGGTTAGATTAAGACCCTAAGTGGAAAGACTATACTTGCTCCTCTATCTCACTTCGATCCATTCATTCACTAACAAATCTGCACTGGGCTCAACCTATCACTCCAGTCCAGCCCACCTACAGTCATTTTGCTCTCCCCCTTCCTTACCCTAGACTCAAGTCAAGGGGTCTGTACTGCCCTTAGGCAGGAAAAGGACAAAACTCAGCTTCAAGTCAGACAAAGTTGAATTATCTTACAATGGCTTCTAAAGATTTCCAAGTTTTCCTGGTTCAGAATTCCAGCTTTTAATAGGATTCCTACATTGGTTACCCACGAGCTCTGGTGTTGTACTGGGTTATGCATTGAGCGGTAACCACAAGGTCAGCAGTTTGAACACAATAGCTGCTCCAAGGGAGAACGATGAGGCTGTCTGCTCATGTAAAGATTTGAAGTCTTGGAAATCCAAGAGGCAGTTCTACTCTGTCCTATAGGATTACTATGAATTGATCTATCTGATGGCAATGAAATATGTATATATAGCAGTTCTACTCTGTCCTATAGGATTACTATGAATTGATCTATCTGATGGCAATGAAATATGTATATGTATGTATGTATATATATATATATATATATATATATATTACAAGAGTACCAAAGTCTTGCCTTCTTTTCAGAAACCCCATAACAGTGAGGTGACAACATTCTTTGGCTCTCCCTACACCAACAATCACCTTATAATTTGAATGCTTTGAGACCCTTAAGAGGTAACAGACTCCAGCCACCACTGCCCCTGATCAGAACTATCTGAGGAGTTCATGATTTTCCTTTCACATTCTGAGTTAGTTAATTGTGCCAGCCTGGCCGATAATCACATGTGGGGCTGGTTGAAAGACAGAGGGATAAATGGGTGGTGAAGCCTCGCCTTTCTAGTTCTCAGGTCTCTTGTTTTGTGATGGTTGCACCGGGTGCAGCTGCCTTAGCAGTTCCCTGCTTCAGCTTGCAAGATTGACTTCCTACAAGACATCCCCAAGGAGAAGCTACATGGACCTATCCCGATGCAGCCCTGGGTGCTGGAGCAGCTGTGTGGAGACCCCTGCTAGTGCCGAGATGCTTGTTCGTTCACGGACTCAGCTTTCCTCCTGCAGTCGGCATCATTGCCTCTGTTTTGTGAGGTGGAGGACTTTGTGGACTGGTGTTGGGTTAATGGGTTAGTGTTGGACTTGTGGGCTTGGGCAGCATTGGGTTGGGATGTTTTCGTGATGCACATTTTCTTTACATAAAACTCTCTCTTATACATGAGTTGCTGTGGATTTGTTTCTCCAAAGTACCTAGACTAATACACATTCAAACTTCAAGCCTATGAACTTGAGTTCAACCTCCCCAAGAGTCATTATCATTCTGATGTTAGACCTCGGTTCTCACAACAACCAAAGTTGACGGCACAACAAAATACAACTCTCTATAGATAGATTTCCCAAGCTAGGACTGAACTAAAAACAAAAAATAAAAACAAAAAAACCCTTCACTGCCAGGAAGTCAGTAACGACAGAGCAACCATCAAGGACAAGGTAGTTCCCAAGATTGTAAACCTAGGTGGGAATCGAAGGCCTCGTCTTTCTCCTGTGCAGTGGCTGGTGGTTTCAAAGTGCTGATCTTGCAGTTACCTGCCCCACAAGTAACCACTACACTACCAGGGCTCCTAGGACCCAATTAAAGGCATCTCTTCAGAAGGGACTTGAAAAAAAATTGTGGAAAGTTTCTATTATTTTTAATTTCATTTTCCCACACATATTTGAAGCCTCTCAAAAATGAGTATCTTACTCCCAGTCAACATCCAGAATATGCCTTCTTCCTTTTCCCTTACCATTGTTACTTTGTCCAAAGTTTATACACTTGCTAAGTCCACACCACTTTCCATTCACTCCTAGGTTTGCCAAAATACCTGTTTCTGGGTTCACGCCTCTCTTGCTGCTATTAAAGAGAGCTGCAATGGAGAATAAAGCTTGTTCTGCATTTTCCCATAGAAAGATTTTAATAGGGCACAGTAAGGCTGAAGTGCCCATTAATGGCACAAGAAACCAGGTGTGATTTATACTATATTTGTTGCAAATGAAAACTCACAGATTTAGACTGTATCCTGTTCGTAAGTTATGGATTGACTATGCTAGAAAACTGCTCTAAAATGTCAGGAAGAGATTACAGTAGACAATGATACTGGTTCAAGGACTTGCTAGAAAATAGTTCCATCTGAGCAAAGTGGGTTTCCCTACAACCAAGTGTAAACTTCCCATAGTTAATAGTTCCAAACCCTGCATTCAGAGTTTATACTCAAGAGTTGTATATCAAGTATGAATAAACTTACTGGAATATCTATAACCATAACTAAATTTGGGGTAGCAACCATATGGGTAGCATTAACCTGAAATAAAAACTAAAATCCCCTTTAAAAGCAGAAACAAGAGCCCTTTGCCCATTTGAAGAATGACCTGGAAGTACACCACCACACCCTCAGTCAGGAAAAGGCACTAGAGACATGTTAACACACATTCCAAAGGAATACTGATAAGATTAGGACCTAAGAACTTTACTCATTTGATGAATCTAAGCCCTTAAAGCATTTTTAAGTGCCTTTTAAAAAAGAAACATTTTTAATGTTTATTAATTCATTTAAAAGAATAACAGCAAAAACAATGAGAAAAATACTGACATACCATTTTTAAAACTTTCTTTCATGCCAAGCTCAATAAAAGAGCTAGATATTCTCATATCTACTCATACATTCAATCTGCTTTATGTTTTGATCGATTCATGTGAAAAAAATACAACACCTCACTGAAATATGCAGTGAAATAAAAAAGAAGAAAGAAAATGTTACACAGAGGTGTGAACATTCTTCTCTGATACTACACCAAAATTTGACAGAGAATTTCCTTAAAGGTAGTTGTAATATAGAACCTATAGCCATATCTGTACAGTTACTGACTCTTTGAAAGGATCTCTTTAAATAAAATCGTGAAGTACAGGTCACTTTGGAAATACTGCTTGGGCTAGACAGCTATTCGAAGTATTGACACAATTCTTTACACAAAAGTAAAAACTCTCATTAATATCACCATCTATCTCATCTCAAAAATCTTTGAATATTGGGACGTTGACAAGAACACAGCAGGTAATGCAAGTTTTCCAAATTTTTAATTTTCACTTCAAAGTTCAAATTCCATTGTTGGCACCAAATACTGTCAGGTGTTTCCCTTGAAGTGGCAGGCTCAATTTGTTCATTTTCAAGAAAATATCTGCCAAATAAATAAACCTGAATAATCATCATTCTTTGTCTGGTAGTCACTTTTCAGGTAAAATGATTTTTCAGGTCATGAAAAATGTGACTTAATTCAGGCTCACAACTAGGACCATCATATAAAGGTTCTCTTGGAGGCAAATGATGTAGTCTAGGAATGTAGCAGAAGTGCATCTTCCCTAACACCACACAGAACACCAAAGTAAAGTGTACCCAAGATATGAAATTTCATAAAATTAATTCTTTCTGCTGCTTCCTCAAAGACATTTAGAAATACAACTGGCATGTTTGTTTTTCACAGGGAATGCATGGCAGTGAAGGAAACAATGATTACTAGTGCAGATCACGGTCACTGTCGGTGTCTACTAAGCTGCACACAGGACCCCTGGTAGTGTAGTGGGTTACCCACAGGGCCACTAATCACAAGAGCAGCCGCTCAAAACTACCAGCTGCTCTATACAGGAAAGCTAAGGCTTTCTATTCCTGTAGAGATTTACAGCCTGAGAAACCCACAGGGGCAGTTCTAGTCTGTCCTGTAAGGTCAGAATTGACTCAACAGCAGCAAGTAAGAAGATGCCCACAGTTTCACTTGCCATTGCTTTTACACCAACAGTGCAAAGTCAAATCAGTGGAAAGAGCAAACAGTATTACTCTGAAGACCGTTCCAGGGCCCCTGGACAGATTTCAGGGATGTCACATTTGAGAACTGCCCTCTGACAACAACAGTGAAGGGTATAATTCCAAAATCTATCGTAAACATGTCCCAATATAATACAAGGGGGCATCAAAGAGTGTGTGGAATAACCAAATTAAAAGATCATGGAAGTTTCCACATCTACATGAATTCTTTCAACTTAACTCAGAATCTATCGAATGTGTTCTGAATTGATATTAATCACAGTAACCAGACAGTTCTAAGTGAACAGGTCCATATATTATCTACTTTAACCCTCATAATAATTTTCAGCTGGCTATTATACTCATGCTACAGATTAGAAAACCTAAGGTGGAAAATAACCTTAGGAGGCAGTGAGTTGATTGTTAATGTTTAAAAAAGAAGGTGAGGGCAGAGTATAACTTGAGGAAAGTAATAAATGTCACTGAATTGTACACATAAAAGAAAGGGGGTGAACTTACCCAATAGTACAATAACTAGCACCCAGAGTTCTTTGTTGCAAGCATCGCACACCTAACTTCTTGAATTTTCACAAACACCTTGGTTTGTTTGTTTTTTAGGAGTCTCTGGGTGGCACACAGTTAAGTCTGTACCTCCTAACAAAAAAGGTTGGCAGTTAAAACCACCCAGAGG